AAACATATAAAGAAATAAATAATAAGATAATGGACAATTCAATCTCATCCGTCAATTACAATTCATCCAAACCGTACACCTAATTTTGTCAACTATCTTTGTCAACAAACTTGGTACAAATAGATTAATTCGAAATATTTTTATCTTTGCACCGCTACATCAGATTTTTTGAAAATCGGTACGTCTTCTGTGAAAAAATCTCTGTACTCGTAGCATTATCCATCATTTAATCCTATAAACGAATGTTCTGATATATCATTATAATTCTTTGAAAGACGAGAACCAAATAATTTTCAGTGATGAAACAAAATCTCATTTCCCTTCAAATAGATTTTTTTTCTTAAAAGGATTGTTGTTATTTTATTTCCAGGGGGCAGTCTAATCCTTTAACAAGGGAGGATCATATCATATCCCCTCAAAAACATCAATCACTACATGCCTTTCAACCAATGGATCCTACTGCAGAGTATCAAGCCACTTTTAGGTTATTATATTATAAAATATAAAATTAAAGGATCTATTATTGTAAAATAAGTTGACTTTATAGATAAAACTAACTCAATTCTCATTGAATATATAAAAGCATATAAAATTCGTTGTGCTTTCCAAAATATTTAATATTTTAAATTAAAAATTATAGTAAAATTTTAGTACATTTCCAAGATGAATTATGATTGATTAAGTGAAAAACATGAAGTGCATATTTAGTACACTGAAATGAATACAGGTGACAATAGAACTCAACGCCAGCAATGTTCATGTAAACAAGTCTTTCTACCATGTATGGTGGCTGCAACGTAAAAGACGAGAAAACCTGATAGATCAGAGATGCGCCAACTGTTATACCGGAGGCACAATATCCACCCGTGTTCGGGGTGATTTGGGCACAAGGAAGCGAATGCTGTTCATCTAAAATTTGACCTCCTAGAGTACCAAAGGCAAGCGTGAAATTGTTATCAACGTGAAATCCCAAGATATGGAATCAAAACAATAGACAATCCAATTGACACTTGGAAATCATACATTTCTTTCTCCTAATCGATGGAAGCAACATGACAAACCACAACGGAGGTGGAAAAAGCTGATTTATCGTCCTATAAACACTTCAAATCCAACAAAATTGCCATAAAAAGGAGAGTTAAACATTTAACAACACCCAAAATTAGAAAGTGAGACAGTTCTTTAAAAGAGATCCGCAACAAAGCATTTTTATCAGATAGATGCAAGATCATTAGGTCAAGCGATGCCTAAAACCAAACATTGTATCGAGGTGAACAGTGCGAAAAAAAGAGAGAGAATCATCGCTTCTTGGAGACACCAACAGTCTTTCCCCTACGGCCGGTGGTCTTGGTGTGTTGTCCACGCACTCTAAGACCCCAGTAGTGACGGAGACCACGGTGATTCCTAACATTGTCAAGCAAAATCAAAGTAAATATAGAAATAAGCAAAAGAAATAGATATTGGACTGATAGTCAAGATAGCAAAGCATAAAGTC